TTTATTCCTTCAAAAAATGTGGTGTAGTGGAAATACATATAAGCTTAATAAACATTTATCGTGTTATATTTCAGGAACTATTCCTTAAGTGCGCATATTTTCAGTTCGGTTTTTTCGTTTTATTAGAAATCGTTATAAGCAACGCATGCATTATCATTTGTTTCATCTGGCATTATTCTGTTGCTGATTCGTCGTGTTATCTCTTCCATCATCGTTTTGTTTTTGCTTCTCGCCGGACATTATACACGAGGCTCATTCGGTATTGAGTATTGAATTCTGTTTACTTCGGCATTCTTAGATTTTCATTAATTTATCTATCAGAATTGCAGAATGAAAATTATGAGCCCCACTACCGAACAAAATTAAAAACAATAATATATTTCATGAATTGAAAAAGCAAATGATTTCACAACTTTTCAGCTCTGCCCTATCTTAAGACGAATAAATAGATACTGACATACCTACTCATACAGTCGTAACGAATTTTTAATACTGAACGATCTTGTTAAATGAAACGATTGATTCGTACTTTGTTTGCAGCTGACTGGTGCTTTTTGGCGCTTGTGTGGCCACAGACGAATATGATAAAAACAAAGGAACAAAAGGGTCATTGAATTCAATATTTGTTTTCGGTTTCATATTTACAGCATTCTGGAGAATTCAAATGTTGTTTGTTAAGACTGTTGGCAAATGTTTTACAAATTTAGGCAAAACATAATAAACGCTTTAATATTCAATTATCCATATACATATGTATTTGTGTGTACATATGTAGATGTACTCAAACCTTTATTTCTGTAACGCTATTATTCTGTTTTACTAATACCCTGCAAAAAATTGTAAGACTAATCTCTAAAGAGAGTATTCCGAGATTATCCTCAATGGGATACAATTGGGCATTAATTCGTCGCAACTAGTCGCATACAGGTATGTATTATTAAAGATTAATTAGTTTCGTAAATTGACTAGTCGCTTTTTATACCCGTTCGGGTATAAAGGGGAACAATTAGTCCCTTCATAGGACATTCTCGAACAAAAAAAGCGAACACCTCATTTCATATAAAGAGATCAAAAGTGGTATAAATGCTCCTTTGCGATTGCTCCCGGAGTCATCCCGGATTAGTCGCATTTTTTGCAGGGTACCAATACGGTTGGTGAGGAATTAAAAATTCGTGTCGCGCGTACAAAACAAAAACGAATGAACAACAAAAAAAAAAACATTGATTTAAAATTTCGTTTGTACAATGAGGGAATTAAAAAAAGATATTTATGCAAATACCACGCCAATATAAAAGCTCATAAATTTTGCATAAAGACGAGCACGTGTTAATAATCTACGCCTCTTATGGAACGTGAAATGCCACTAAACTAACTGCAGAAAGGTGAACTAACGTCAATTTTTTTATATTTGCCAATAAAATATAATTTCGTGGCCTTTTGACAACTGACTGAATGCGGTAAAGTAGGGGAAAGTAATACTTATTCCAACGTAAACATATGTATGTATACATATATTTATTCTTACTTATTTGTACGTGCCCATAGGTGCAAGGCCAGTATCTCCGTTGGCTCACGAAAACTCACCAATATGCCAATGTGGCTCGCATTGACTCACTTAAACAAACACATCATTTTTGGAAGCATAGCACGCAAAATTATCACAGCGGGCTTTGACTCAGTAAAACTGAACCATCTTTATTTTGAAATACCCAAACCGAACCGGTTCAAAACAAAAACCCTCTTAATCATATGTCAAGTTCTGCAACTGTTATTGTAAAACTGCTAACATTTTTTTGATTGATAACCACTACATGAGTTCGCCTATGAAGTTAACCCTCTAGTAGGCCAATTTTTTTATGAGTTGAAAAATTCAGGAATGGGTGATTTTAGCACGAGAAATCCAAAACTGATTTCCATTTCGATCTGTGACAGTAACTTTTTCCTACAGGGGAGAAAACCCAAGACCGTCTGGAGACGGGCTCGCCGATATACTTACACATATTTTCAGCTTTCTCTTACACAATGTTGACCTAGGAACCGGCAATGCCGTCTGCAGATGGTCAAAAATGCAAAACTGGAGTTTTATATGTCGGCAAGCCGGTCTGTAGACGGCCTGTATTCGAAAGCAATTTTCTCCATTTCGAATGGTGACATAATTATAAAACTTATAACAAAATACGGTGCTTTTAACAACGAAATCCACCGAATTTTTTTATATCAAAAAATTTTTCAAAAGAAAAAATTTCTTTAATTACGAAATTACTAAATAGCAAGAAATAATTAATTTTAACCGTGTTTTCAAAATCTGTAATTCAACTGCCGATTAAAATAAAACGGATTGACATAACGGATTATAATTTACTTCGCCGTAAGGGTACGATTTTTGTCTAAAGATCGTGCCTTACGAATATAGAAAAAAATTATTATAGGTGCACTAAAAAGGTGTTTATGTCCTTTATATTTATTTCTTAATCTGCTCTGCACTTTTTAGAGGTAAATTTTTAAACGCAGAATATGAAGAATAAAAATGTCCCTTACAAAATATAATTAAAACTTTCGCCAGTTTGTTTCGCACCCCATTAAGGGTTTCTATTTAATCACTACTCTTTGTACAATTTATAAAGCACAGGGAAAGATGTGCCCATGATCGTGTTGCACGCTGAGTTTCCAGTTCCACTGAAAGATAACAATAAACCCGCTGCTGCACAATGGTTCAAAACTGGCATTCATTCACTTCATTTTTCACTTAATTTGATTAAGTTTTATTTTCTTTTTATGAAAGCTTACAATATTTGTAAGATACCAGTTGAGCCTGATTTCTGAATTTTAATTTGATTATATTAAATTGTTTAGTGGAAAATGTAGAAAAAGTAGCAATTTTGAAGAAAATTTATTCTCCTGTTCCAGTTAATAAATGTTACATAACAACAACTAGTTGTACAAAGAAATACACAAAAAAAAAATAAAATTTTATAAAAAATTTTCACCAAAATAAATATTTTTTTTTTGGTTTTTAGTAAAAATAGTGGAAAAATTAAGGCTGCGGTGGATTATGAACATTGAATTCCAATTTTGAACCACTGTATGTTGGCTTCGTCGTGCAGTATGAATTATGGTAAACGCATTTTGTGTAGCAAACGATGGCGAAGTTCTTGAAAAGAATTTGGTTTTATTTTGTCGCTACAGCAGGGGAACTTACACTATTTAATAATATAATTAACTGGTAAATATTTGATTCAAATTACAATAGGGACATGCTACTTTTATCACACAAGTTGTATGTACGTATTCCCAAATCATTTTGAGAAAAAATGTCCTTTATTTTACGTTGGAAAATATGGTCACCGTAGATATAGAGAACTTAAATAAGAAGTCTTGTTGGCCGATATCGACGTTTTAGTCACTGTGTTCATATCAGTGACCGTAACAGGTACAACTTTTATTAAAAAAATAGCTCTTTAACCATTATTTTCAGACTCTTATTTAATTACTCCTTAAATAGCCGTTATATCTGACTTTTATTTTATAAATCCGAAATAACAATTATTTTTGATTTTTATCCAAATGATGGCAAATAACAGTTATTTTTGAATTTTGTCTTAATAATGGCGAATAACAGTTATTTTTCATTTTAAAATTATATGTCTCAGATAACAGTTATCGAAGACCTTTATTTATAAAAGCCATAAATAAAAATCAGTCACTGACCTTTATTTTTAAATCATACCTATAAATGTCATTTGTATAAGGCGTAGTAAACTTTTTTTCCAAAGACCTTCTTAATTGCAAAAAATTATAAATAAAAGTCTTCAATAACTGTTGTCTAAGACATATAACATAAAAATCAAAAATAATTGTTATTTTGGATTTATAATAAAAAAATAAAAAATTATTGTTATTTTTTTAATTTTGCATAAAATGTGCAAACAAAAATTTATTTTCTATCTCTGAGTCTCGGTAAAAAAATAAATCATTTGGCATGTATCACTTAGTTGTAGAACATTTCCTTCCTTTTCTTCTACTAGTCAATGCATTCTTGTTCATCTTCCTGCCCGTGTTCTTCTTAGTTGTCGTATTGGATTTCGAATTCGTCTTCGGTTGCTGCTCATATTTGTTTTCTTTCTTATTCGTGTTCGCGTTCAAAAAAAAGCAAAAATAATAATTACATCGTTAACAAATCAAGTACAACTCAAATTGAAGAGCTTGCAACAACAACTACATACAAATAAGGAAATTTTTGGCCATCGCCATTCAGCCGTAATTTTCGATAAATTTTGAAATCATAAAAACTCTCGTCATCTACAGAAAAATGGTGTTTTTGATTTCAAAATCGATGCTACGTCTAATGAGGAAGTACAAAAATTATACTGGCGTATTTATTATATAGATTTGCCACTCCCATAATTTTTAAGAAACAAATTTGAAGAAGATTTAAAGTCCATTTCTGTCAGTTTTAATGTGAAGTTAGGTTGTGTGCGAAATTTGAACTTTTTTTTCCATTTAAATAGGTAATATGAAACCGCCGTATATGTACAAACTTACATATGTACATACGCCTACTTTTTCGTCCTCCTATATCGCTGAAGCGTTGGAATGGCATGCCAAACATATTTCATTACTCATGACTGCAAGTGATGTACTGATATATGCAAAAAATGTCTTAAATATTTAAAAAAAAATTTTTTTTAGTTCTCTGTAAATTACACGTCACTGCTGTTGTAGTTAGTAACACAGCTCTATTCACTAAATTTCGAGCAAACTATGTTTGTATCTGAATACATATCTGATCTGATTTTGTATGTATGCATGTGCATATGTACATATGTAGGTACCCATTTCAATGTCCCTTGCTCGCTTGGGACAGTTTTGTTTAATTTGCCTGACATTTACGAGCCATAAATTACTTTAATTGCTTGTATACGCTAATGAATACATTATTTTGCATACTGAGTAAATAAATATACAAAAAAGTAAGCATACTTCTTTTTATTTTGTTGCAGGCTTCAAAGATGCTCATTTGACAAACGTCTGCTACTTTCGGCGCTGACGGATGCAACCTACACACACAAATGTAGGAGGTAAGTACTTGATTATTTTTTGACATACAGTTGAAACGCGATAGCTCCAAAGCTAGAAAAATATTTAAATCGCGTTCATTCGTAGCAAAATTTTGATCCCTTGGATAACTCGTTCAAAATGTACGTAATTAGGGCCCTGATAATTGGTATTTCTTTCTTAGCCTCCTGACTTCGTTATTCTTTTCTGGTTGTTCGTGTTCTCAAAAATGTTCTATAACTCGTATTCATAAGATAATGACAAAGTTTTTTGGAAGGGCGTCCATAATACTTCTTTGTTGAAATTTGATTTCAATTTTTCATACGTCGTTACGCACCACTAGACAACGAATAACTCTCTTGATGCCGCCATATGTTCTAGCTACCGCGGGATCAGCATTCTAAGCATAGATTACAAGGCTATATCGAGCGTATTGTCTGAAAAACTGAAGCCCACCATCAACGATCTGACTGCGCCTCATAAATACGGCTTTAGATTGAATATGATTGACACATATCAGCTTTTGGTCGATTTCAAAGCCTTCGAAGTTATCTGTATGCCCCGATATTTGAATTTGGTATCCCTGCGAATACGTAATATGTTATTACATATATATAATTATAACCAAATTCATAAACAATAAAAAAATACTTTATAAACGGCTTATATAAACGGGTTATAAAAAGTTTAATAATATATATGCATATCTAAAATTTTGAATAAAAAGATAGAAATTTTATAATTTTTGTACAAAGAGTGAAGTGTGCATTTATATGATGCTTGTAAAGCAATTTTATAAAAAATTACAAACATTAAATATACAAAAGTCAGCCGTCAGTCGGCCGCTGTGGTGTAGTGGTAAGCAGTGCGCGCTTTCACTCCGCAACGCCTGGGTTCAAACCCTGGTCAAAGCAACATCGCAAAAAAAATATAGAAAAATGGTTTTTTCTTAACAGCGGTCGTCCCTCGCCAGGCAATGGCAAACCTCCGAGTGTATTTCTGCCATGAAAAACAGCTTCTCATAAAAATACAATCGCCGTTCGGAGTCGGCTTAAAACTGTAGGTCCCTCCGCTTTGTGTGACAATATCAAGGCACACGCCACAAGTTGGAGGAGAAGCTCGGCCAAACACTAACATATGTGTAAGCGCCAATCTATATATATATATATATAAATATACAAAAGAATAAATAATATAAAAAAAACTTTTTAATATACAACGCTTTTATAAATGGACTAAAAAGTAGAAAATAATACTTCTCAGTCCCATAGAATTTGTTTTGATAACTTTTGATTTTGAAATTTTAGCAAAAGTCATTATAAACAAT